GACGTAGGTCTGTTTATGTGAAGGAGATTGAACATTTATATGGGTTACTGATGTCCCCTTGGACGTAGGTCTGTTTATGTGAAGGAGATTGAACCTTTACATGGGTTACTGATGTCCCCTTGGATGTAGGTCTGTTTATGTGAAGGAGATTGAACATTGATATGGGTTACTGATGTCCCCTTGGACGTAGGTCTGTTTATGTGAAGGAGATTGAACCTTTATATGGGTTGATGATGTCCCCTTAGACGTAGGTCTGTTTATGGCTGCTTTTGTTTGGTGGTAAGAATACTTCGTGTAAACTTAAATATAACTTCTTGAGGCACTAAATACAAGCAGATTGCCACAAAAAGCACAATTACGGTCCAATCTCTCTTAAGGTTGATCTACTTCTTGGGGAAGGCTGCAGGCTTATAACTTATCACATTTTCAAGGCACTTTCCAAAGCTATATTAAGAAAAGATGTCTTTCATTTTTTTGTCTTTTGATTGTTTGAACAGTCAAAAGATAATTAATATTTTTTACACATATTAAGCTCATTTAGCATTTTATGGCCTGAAATAAAATATTACTTTTTCCAAGCATTGAGTTAGTTGAATTGTACAACCCTCCTTTATATCAATGAAGAAGAATTATGTTATGCCTAGTGAATATTCAAATCAAGACTACATTTTGACTTACACATACAGGTACTTGTCTGTGACATTTTAAATCTTGTTGAAGTGTATTTATATTAAACTATTTAAAATTGTTTGTCTTCAGTAAATGTGATGCTGTCGTTTGACGAGACATATGCTGATGTGATGCCAGTCAGAGTAAATAAAGATTCACCTTCTGCTTTTGTGTAAGTACATGTATACGTAGTGAATCTAATTTGTATCTCTCACCTGTGTGTGTGTTCATGTTAGTTAGAGATTTCTCTTACCCTGAACAGGTGTATCTGCCTGGATCCTAGTGTAAGATTCGTATAATTTTCCACCTCCTTGGGGAAGATTCTTCAGTTGTTAAACACAGGGGTTTGCCAAGTGTTTTGCAACTTAAGAATCTTTCCTTGAGATTTGAGCATCCCAATCTCACCTCAATTCGGTGAATGATCCTTTTTCTTTTACCATGTTGACCCTGTCATATTCATAATGCAATGTTGATATTACAGGTTAGTGCATTGTTGACGTTCCATTTATGCATTGTTGACGTGACAACATTGTATTGTTGACGTGACATCATACGTCTTAACCCTAGAGTGAGGAAAGAATATCTCACACTGTGAAAGTGGCGATCCACCTTTCTCCCCTATTGGACAAAGATATCCACACTTCCAGTCAGGGGAAAGATATCTTTCGTTATGATAGGGGAATCCCCCCGTCTTTACCCTATATAGGGTATAGAGTAAAGACGGGAGGGGGGGTTCCTCTATCATTACTATTGCATGACTTCACGTCAACAATAGCAAATCAAGGAAGATAACTCTGATCTGCTTGAAATAGTGAAATAAACATTTTCATTTCTTGAAATTACCACTTGTATTTGATATGGGAGAAAAGTAATTATTCTCCACTTTAGGAGTAAGACAGGAAAATGTCAACCCTGGTGGTAAGATTCTCTGACCCTCGGCAAAGCCTCGTGCTAGACATTTACCTTGGGTTGAGATTTTTCTGTCTTACCCTCAAGGTGGGGAAAGATTATATTAGGTCGGGGTAAGAGAAACCCTTGTTTACCCTAGAGTTGAAACAAGGGACTTATTCACTCATTACCATTTGTATAATGTTGTGTCGACTATTCATTGATGTCGTATCAACAATGCATTAGCGCCATGTCAACAATACATAGGGTCGACAGAGTAAGAGAAAAATAATCCTTCCCTCTTCAGGATCTTTACTGTCCAGATAAGATGCCAAAACACTTGGAAAGCTTTGTTTTTGGCAACTTCAGAATCTCCATAGGTTGTGACCCCTACTATTACACTGTTCACACCCCAAATGAGTGAAACATTTTATTAGTTTTCAATTTGTATCCCATGCATGTAAGAAGTCAAAAAGGGTGTAACATTATAGCAATTCCTTTGCATTGAAGACGGAAAAATCTCAAGCCATTTTTTTTGAGGTTCAAAATGAGGCTTTGCTTAGTGCTGAACCTCAAAAATCTTATCACAAAGTCTTGCGATTTCTCAATGTACTTTATATGGGAACGATAGTATTCTCCTACACTTTCCTACTGTGAAAAATACTCCGAGATGTAATGATGGCAATTTCAAATTTTTGCCACATACATACTATAAAGGAAGACGTCTTTTATCATTTTATTTACAGGTCTATCATGCGCGGCTGTGATAACATGTGTACCTACTGTATTGTGCCGTTCACTCGAGGCAGGGAAAGGAGTCGTCCCATAGCATCTATAGTGGAAGAGATTCAAACCTTGTCGGATCAGGTATACAGAATATGTTTGTCACATAGTTTAATTCACAAAAAAAAGTACCCAGGGGAAGCATATCAAATTATTATATTATCGTGTATCTCCTTATGGAGAAATACATATCTGGTCAAGAGCCTGACAGTGTATGCTTAACTCATTCACCCCTGAAGACACATTTGAACTCTTCCAATTCAAAGGTTGGAATAGTTCATTATAACATTTCAGGGGTGAATGAGTTAACAGAGGTCTGAACACTTTCGTTTTTGATTATAAAAGATTTAACTAATTATATTTGTTTTCGAACAATAAATTATTATGAAACAGATTTTTACCACTTATATTCTCCATCGATATATTCATCAGAATATAAAACAATAAAACTCAAATGATATAATAGACATAAACAGGATAATAGCTCCTTGCTCATTTCATAGAAGATGATTTGGAATTTTAGCAACCAGCTATTATGTCATTTATGTCTTGTGTTATCATTTGAATTTAATGGTTTTATAATTGGATGAATATAATGAGGGAGATATATATAATGCAAGTAACTTTGTTTGTATTCATATATACCTACATGTATAAGTATTTGGGTGTGGGAGGAGTCCAGACATATTCATTCTGAACACTTTGGTTTTGAAGTATGAAAAAATATAAGCTTTATTTTGAAAAAAAATATAAGCTTTATATAGCTAACAACAGTTATAAAACAGGTTTTCCAAATGATACTAATCACCCTTGTTGGCAAAGACGAAAGTGCACAGTACCTTTTTAATACCCTTTCATGTCTGATAGGGGAATCAAATCCTGGCCTAGCTTCTTGGTGAAAAGCAAGAGTGCTATCAACTGCACCACCCAACCACCCTGTTTAAGTTTTTTCAAGAATGAAAAAAAATAAAAAAAATCTAGAGAAATAAAACACTGGAATCCATTTACATGTAGTTAGAATGTAATTTAAGTCTAAAGAAGGTATGTTTTACAATTTCTATCGGTCTGATATAACAAGACCCTGAAAACAACTTTTTCAAAATTAACGAATTAATGGAAATTCTTTTGTTTTTTTAGGGGTTAAAAGAAATCACACTCCTTGGACAGAATGTTAATAGCTATTTGGACAAGTCAGAGTCTAAGTTTTATGGAGGATTAAGTGCTGATGCTCATACGAAAAACAGTTCAGGATTTAAGACAGTTTACAAACCAAAGGTTGGAGGTCGACGATTCAGTGACCTGTTGGACGCCGTTTCTAGAGTGGACCCCAGTATAAGGATTCGATTCACCTCACCACATCCTAAAGACTTTCCAGACGAGGTTGATGATCGTTCTTTTACAAATTCCAAAACTAGTTTCTTTGATATGAATTCGGGATATAATTCAATATCATTTGAGTTTAAGGATCCCTGTCCCACTGCACTGCTGTTTTCCTTACATTTGTATACACATAATATATATAGGATCCTACATGAGTTTCCATTTCATATGAAATTTATGAAACAAGTCTTAATAATTTTTAGAGGCTCGCTAAAATGAAAAATTCATGACGAGTTTCATAAATTTCATATGAAATGAAAATGAGTGCAAGATCCTTTTTATCACATAATCGAGATTTGAGGCATTTGTTTGTGTAAAACGACAATTTTCATGCAACCTTGAAATGTAAAAATCCGCCATTTTGACTCTAGTGCGCGAGTTTGTGACGTCATGTACTTGTCCTAGGCATGACGTCACAATGAAACAATTGAAACTTACAACCAATCACAGGGCTTATAGGTTATATTATATGGGTTTATACGCAAAAAATATATGACATGGGTATATTAACTGAATAACACAGTACGTCATGTGATAAGACCTCCTCTTTACTTCAGTTCTACTTGTAGCACATTCGGGATAGTACACTCCCATTGACCAGGTAGCTCAATCAATCAACAATGATTATATTTTCTTTATTACATCTTTATTGTTTTTCATAATAGTCCCCCAAGGTATGGTTTCCTTTTCGGAAATGATTTATCAAGGTTTTAGACATGAAAAAAAACCCAACAGTTTCTAATACTTAGCTACAATTTTTGGCAGTGGTGCTGTGATCCTTAAGGAGAAAGATTTGTGTGAATGATAAATTTAAGAAGGTTACAACAGCTTTACACAAATTCTGTCTTTGCTTTAAGTTAAGACTGGTTTTCACTTTGGGTGATACCTCTCTTGTCATCGGACAAAAATTGATCACTACATATTTCCATTTATCTCCATTTTACTGTGATTATCTCCCTTGAAGTAAATCCAAATAGTTGAGCTGTGTACACATTCATTCAAAGGGCAGGAAATATCTGCCTACAGACAAATATAAGCAAGTGTCTATATAGCTACTAACCCAGTAGACTAGTGCACATTTGTTTTGTGTATAGTACTAATTAATCATAGCATATGGATTTGGACAGAAAAACTAGCCTTGTTTCTTTTAGCATAATATTCATGAAGTCTAATTGCACATACCCTGGTATGTGAAAACTTTTGGACCACTAAGTAACATCTCCAGGCAAGTAATCCACTTGTCCAAATGACCAATACTTTTGAAAACTTTGTTCTAGCCCTGGCTCATCATTTAAGAAAAAAATGTATATATTGCAACAGTTTAATTTGTAGCAAAAGTTTGGTATTATGCAGCTGGTTTTGCCATACATTTGGGGAGATATATAAAGGAAGGGTTTAAACTAAGGAAAAGGGAACATTCCAATATACAGGCAATATATGATACAGCAAATCAAAACAGGGTTATCATAACTGTAGTTAAATATTAATATGTGTAACAGGACCTAGTCAGATGTTCTTCCATTGAGTAAAGGGAAATTCCCTCTAGCGAGTTGCTAGAAATTGACCATAATCCTATGTACAATTGAAATCTGCCAGACTATTCTCCCCTTTTTAAATGTGTTCTTTCATAAACACCACAACAACCCAGGTTCTAACTCCCTGTCATCACAGTGAGGAGAACATGTGTAACAGGAAAGTGAGTGTTTTGCTTCCACCTGGGATGGAACTCACAATCACAGACTTCCTAGTCAGATGCTCTACCACTGAGCTAAAGGAAAATTTCCACCGGCACAAAAGCTAGCTATAGACGCCTATTGTAAACCTATGTACATTTAAAATCTGCCACACACGGATATCTAAATTTAAAAAGGGGAAAAAATGCAATAATTGCAATTATTTATATTTATTTATATGACTTCGTCTGGTGAGAAGACTCTACAGCTAGTGGTTGTTTTTCTACAGGTGCTGTATCTGATAAGAGATCGGGCGAACGTCTGTAATCATATCCACCTACCAGCCCAGAGTGGCAGTACTTCCGTACTCCAGGCCATGCGACGAGGCTACACCCGCGAGTCCTACCTGGAACTTGTACATCACATCTGGGACATCATACCAGGTAAGTTTAGAGTTATTTACTGACTGAATATGAAATTCTGAATATCATTAGTATTAGCATTAATGCTTATTTTCCATATTGATTAATGATAAAAACATCGTAATTTCACATGTAATGGACAGTGATGGATTTTTATATTGATGAATATATGTTATATGGACTTGAAAAAATGATATTGACATTGACTTTGTCTTTGGCTGATTTGTTTAAGACGTATCGCTGTCCAATGACTTATAATCGTGGGATTATTTGGTGAAACTTTACATTGACTTGTTTTAGATATCTCGCTGTTCTGTGACTTATAATCGTGGGATTATTTGGTGAAACTTTACATTGACTTGTTTTAGATGTATCGCTGTTCTGTGACTTATAATCGTGGGATTATTTGGTGAAACTGTTTTAGATGTATCGCTGTACATGTCCTGTGACTTATAATCGTGGGATTATTTGGTGAAACTGTTTTAGATATCTCGCTGTCCTGTGACCTATAATCGTGGGATTATTTGGTGAAACTGTTTTAGATATATCGCTGTCCTGTGACTTATAATCGTGGGATTATTTGGTGAAACTGTTTTAGATGTATCGCTGTACATGTCCTGCGACTTATAATCGTGGGATTATTTGGTGAAACTTTACTTTGACTTGTTTTAGATATCTCGCTGTCCTGTGACTATATTGTAGGATTCTCTAGTTAAACTTTCTGTAGATTTGACCGATTTGTTTTAGATGTATAACTATCAAATAAATGCATCGCAGATTCCGTAGTGAAACTTTACGTTGATTGGTTTGTTTGTTAGTCCCCAACCAGTTCCCGGGGGGGGGGCGGACTATAGGTTTTCACACTTTCACACTGTCCGTCCGTCCTTTCGTCCAAGAAGTTTGTCTGGGGCATATCTTCTATACTTTTTCACCTAGAGTAACCAGATTAGGTGATCAAGGACATCTTGGGATGGCGAGTGCAAGAAGTAGGTCACTATGACCTCACTGTGACCTATGCTTTGAACAGTAGTTACATCCTGACATAAGTGTATTGTTTGTTAGATATAGAAATCATTACCAGTGGGGGACTATGGATTGCCTTGATTCAGATATATCACTGTCCAGTGACTTTATTACAGGATTCTGTGGTGAAAGTAAACTTAGACTTGGTTGATTTGCTTTAGATGTCTCGCTAAACAATGACTTTATTGCGGATTCTGTGGTGAAACTTTGCGTTGATGTGGTTGCACTTGATTTGTTTTAGATGTCTCGCTGTCCAGTGACTTTATTGCGGGATTCTGTGGTGAAACTGAGGCCGACCATGTGGACACATTGTCGCTGATGGAAATCGTACATTACAACTTTGCGTACATGTTTCCGTACAGCATGAGAAATGTAAGTTTATTTTTTTTTTATATATAATGTGAATAGTTTTCGAAAAAGAAATTCTGTTTTTGTCGCTGTGATCTTTTGACCATATAAGTGACTGAAACATTTCATGTTTTATGTTCCATATACATCATCAACTATACATCTGTTTTGAACAAGAGTTTAAAAAGGTCATCACAGTCATCTATCAATATACAGTTATGGACTTTTATGATGCTCAATATGATGTTATTTGAACAAGAAAAATTGATATCAACCTCAACTCAAGTATCCCTTGGTCAGTGATGTTTTCACATGATATTTACCATCACAAAAGTCTACAGTACACTTTTTGTTTTGTTACTTGTGTGGTCATGGTGTAACTGTGCACTGACATAATAAATTGGTTCAGGGCAATAACATGCTGACCAAAGGAGGCCAGGTTAAAAGAAGAAAGCAGTAGGGAAGATAGGAAGAGACGTTGACCGTTTTGGGGCCCATTATGCTACACAATGGTTTATTCGAAAGTATCTTTTCACAACACCAACTGGGGAAAAGACCACTGGTCAAACAAACACAGGTTTTGTCATAGAATTATGTGTGACAAAATCATTTTGTATAACAGAAAACACATGCTCACCACAAGTTAAAAGACGATGTTCCCGATGATGTCAAGAAACGCCGCCATCTAGAGATCGCTAAAACCTTCAGGAAGGGAGCTCTTATGCGGAACCAAGCGCAGATCGGACAGAAACAACTTGTTTTGGTGGAATCTGTAAGTCTCCAGTTGCTGGCATGGTTCAGCTTTGTATATTTCAACCTCATGCAAATATTTTAGTTGTACATCATGAAACCTGTCTTGCAGAAATTTGATCTTGTCAATTCATAAAATGCTTACTTGAACCGAGGAAAATGGACCATCTTCTTATTAACTTTCATTTTGTTTTTTTCCCCTTCAAATTGCCATGTAATTGTTGTATGCCTGATAACTTACACTCCAGCCAAACTTTTCCCTTTCATTGGAAAAAACTATATTTTCCAGTGTATATTTCACACTATCATGACTTTACTATACTCAGTTTGCTGGGTACTAATTCATGATAAATTGTTCCTTAAGCAAAGAGCAAAAGGTGAAAGTTGAACTGTAATAAAAATTACCTGGTAGAGTAAATGGGATAAAATTTGATTAATGTTAGACTGATATTAGCAAGTATGTGTACACAGAACACATGTAGGATTTGAAGTTAAAGCGTACCACTGCATCAGTGATAATTATTGCAAAAAAGAGTTCCACTCAGATTTTTTGATTTTTTTTAATGGAGTATTCTCTCTTCTTTGCACAAGATGAAGCAACAGAGTAATCCTCTGTCAAGTTATTTATAAGCTTTGGGGTCCGTTACTTAATTCTATAATTTGTATTTTTAATTCCTGTATGTCAACATTGGTTAAATATAGGTTTTTCTGGCTTTTTTTTTTTAATTAAATTTTCAAACTGTCCAATTTCGAACGACCAGAAATCCGTAAAATGCTCCACAACCTGTGATGTTTACATTAAACTTGTTTAAAAAGTTTGAAAAATACTTAGCACCCGGTAAACCAATATTTGACAATACCTGGAAACTTTCGTCCAGTCAAACTTTCGCCCTTCACTGGTAATATGTCTATTCGCCCAGTGTGTATTTCGCCCTTCACATGTAAATACTATATAAGGTAAATTGTGTGCTAATATTCGTTGTCATGATAAATTCGCCCTTATAACGGAGGGCCAAAAAGGCAAAAATTAAAGTGCAGCAAAATTTTCCCCGTTATACCGTAGTTACAGTGGTAATGAAACCGTTTTACTTGTTGGTACGCTTTACCGGAGAGTCGGATATACTGCAATCATATTAAAATCATCTGTTACATGGCTCCGTTAACTTCATACAGGCATAGTACGTAGTTAACGGAGCCATGTAACACTTGATTTTAATCAGATTGGATAGACTGAAAAAGAAAAAAAAGAAAATTCTTTGACATTTGCTCTAATGACTTTATTAATATACAGGTAAGTAAAAGATCTACAGATGACATGGCGGGCAGGAATGACGGCAATACGAAAGTTATCCTGGTCGGCTCCGGAACAACAGCTGTTAATGGTTTAAACCTTAAACCTGGAGACTACGTAGTTGCTGAGGTAATAATCATTTTTCTACATAAAGTTTTCAGTTTTTGAAACCTAATCTGTCCTATGGTGACCTTAGATATTATGAAAAGAACTTAACCCTTTTAAAACAAGTTACATTTTCTGATAACGTATTGTTACATCTAACCTTATGAAAGGGAGATATACTGTGTAAGTATTTGTTCTTTTGTTTCTGGATTTGCTTTGTTTGAGTTCTAGTTTTAAATCTCTGTTGTTCTACTCCTTCCAATAAAATGCTATCTAAGTTATAAACTTTTCTGCATCACCCACTGGAGTTGTGCAATACAATGTATCTAGATCACTAACTTTCAATTCCATTTCAGTGGTCAGATTTGTGCAATATTTTCCTTAAAAAATCTTGTATGGGCTCAAGATCAGTTTACAAACCCCATTTACATTATTTAACTTCCAACACAATATGAAAAACTGCGTTAAATATGCATATCATTCTGTTGTTCATGAGGGACAGAATACCTAATTATTTTGCTGATTGCTTGATAAGAGAAAAACTATGCAAAATCTTTGACAAGATTTACCTTATATTCAAATTTCAGTAATTTATGCAAATTTGAAGTAGTTACCATGACAACCATAATGGAAAACAAATGAATACTTTCATGACAGTGTCTGGGAATTATTTAAAGAAATGACTTAGTGATTTAAAATATCAGATTAAGGTTTGGAATTTTCATGAGTTAGGACCGAAGCAGGCCCAAACCATTTGTAGTCTTTTTCATTTTACTTTTTTTCAGATTGCTTCCTGTTCATCTCAGGTTTTACATGGGCTACCATTATACACCTGTTCAATTCAAGACTTTTACAGATCTGAACACAGTTGTCAGGGCAACAACAACCAACAACATACTGCTGTTGCCAGTTAGATCTGATGAAAGTGTTATTTTTTTTGTGATTCATATATTCTACATCAGTTGTTTTATAATTTTTGAGACAATTAAATGTGTTTTTATTTTACATTTAACTCAATAAATAAGTAAGTTGGCTGTGCCCTTCTGTCTTTTTTATTTCTTTTTTTCTTTTTCATGAAAATTACTGCCACATATATTTCATTGTATATATTATATTATATATATAGAATAGTAATAATTTGAGGTTCTTATACCGCTTTATCACAACCTAGATTGTAGGTCGTTTCATCAATGTTGAACAAACGGGAGCAATATAAGCTCCCCGATTTTGTGATTGCTGGTAATCATGTGTACCTTACTCTCATAAGTTAATTTTTGAATAGTAAAATAGTAAAAGATGCTCTGTTAACCTCGGTGTTTTTTTTCAAATTTGAAAATTGACTAAAATTTGATACAACGCGAACATGATATGAAACCAGTACACCTTGTATAAGTGTCAACCTCTGAGACCTCCAATGAGGGAGATCTCCCTCATTCCACATTTCCATTTCATTTCATTTCATCATATTTTATTGAGAAAACAATAGGATTAAACAGCAGGCTAGGCCTATATAAGTTATCTCCTTAGCTTGACATGACAAAGACAGATGTGAAACGGTTAGTAAGAAAATATTGATGCAAAATTATATATAATATAAGTAGCATAAATCTAGCAAATGGTATAGGGGATATAAATCCATGTATGTTTCATTTTTATATAAATATTTAATTGATATTTTGAGCTATATGATGCTCTTTAATATTAAAAGTCAATCAAAATTAATTTGTAATAGAAAAGTAATGCCCAAATAATATATATTAAACAGAGGAATTGCTACAATCTTCTTTTTATGCAAGTCACTAAAGCCCCCTGTTCATACCCTGTTGCTGTTACACAAAGTAGTTAAAAGTATAAAACCATGTAATATCAATCTACACGTATATCCATTGGTTGGAATGATGAAAAAGTATGGAAAACAACAACAATAAAACAAAATACTAAATGAAGCAATTCAGTTAGAAGATTTTGAAATATATGTAGTATATGTGTGAGATGTGTTGCCAGTGTTCTATGTGTAAATCTTTTATCCCATCGAGTTTCAGACACAAAGACACTAATGGTCGACTCTACTGTTCACATATCACCACATTTCTATTGAGGGGGAAAGTGCTTGAAATGCAACTGAAACTGCTTTGCTCAATTTATCTTTCCCTTTTCATGTATCAAAATAACTCTAAAAAGCATTAATTTGATTCGGACACGCCTGTTATGATCATTTGACAACAGGATGTAGATTTTGAGTTCGTGTGAGTTAATGAGGTAGTTTGGAGGTAGATTGGTAAAATTTGGTCAAATTGAGCGAGTCTCCCTCCTAATGAGAGAGGGTTGACAGCTATGTATCATTGGGGAATCTCTAATACACCAATCACAGTTGAGATCATTACTAGTTGTGTCAGATCAGTTTATGTTTCTTTACCGAGTGATTAGTCCTCCTTGAACATTGTCTAAGATTCAGATAGAAGTACATATTCTTGCCGTTAAACATAATTTGTAACGATTAAATTGTTGCCAGGTTATTTTTGTTGATTGACACAACTTTCACATGAGAAAACCACTTAAAAGCTGAGGTAAAGCATATAGCTATTTGGTCCCTTGTCTAAAAACAAAGATAGCACTTATTTACATATTTCTGATTATTCGTTTATGTCGAATATGATTTTATATTCAAGCATTCCTATAAATGATTACGGCCCGGACGCAACAAAATTTTCGAGCCAGTTGGCCACCTGTTCATAATACTTGGTATGCCACTCCATATTGACTGAAATTCTGTTAAGTGCAAAGTCAAAGCTATGAAGATAAGTGGCGTCAGCCGGTTGGATCTCGTCTCGCCAGTTTTCAATCTATAAATAGGAAAAGGGAGATAAGAGTTGTGATTAAACAGTGCAGTTTCAGAATTTTTTTTATCCAAAGTATCATTTGTAAGTACACAAACAGCCATAAATGTATAATCTTACAGACAATAATGAATTACAAAGATTAAAATCAATTGTCTGGACAAAAACATGATAAAACATGATATCTGTATTTATTAACCTTTGCTCAAACGTCAAATCGACTTAACTGTTACGTACTTAGAAATTTTATGAATAGAACCAAAAATCTATAGTAGGATCACGGACTTAGATCTAATTCCGTGGTAGGATATAAGAATTTGTTTGCAAACTGTATAAAGTCGGAGTTTGCAAATACAGTTCTTTTCACACCCGGATGAAAATTAAAAAAATCATTCTCGATGCTACAAAATCAATTTCAATTTATTGTCGCGAAAATAAACATTAACAAATGAAATCGATATATTAATTTTTGATACTGGCACTTTATTACGTGCGCAATTATACATCAGGAAAGTAGTTCCGAGGGGGAGGCTTATTGTTTTTTTCATAGTTGATGAAAAGAAGTTTTCGACCAATCAATTTTGAGTATTTGGTATGATATGAAAACAAGGAAAATTTGTATATATATACAACTGTACATATGGGGCAAAGAAGTAATTCCAACAGTGTGGACAAGTTTAGGTTGCCAAATTTTCGGAGCGATCCGCTCCTTTTTCAAGACACAGTGAAACAGAACAGTGACATGTACATACATATACATCATATTACAAGAAGATAGAATTGATATACTATAATTGAAAATATAGCTATTATATAAAACCAATAGTCCCCTCGGCTAAAGACAGCCGAAGGCAGCAATTAAGCTGAGAGCATCGCCATTAGGATCCAGTGTTATATGGGATTTTACCGTCTATATTATTTCTTTGACCCATACAACTGTATATATTTTATACAGTAGTATTTTTTCTTCTTGCATGCCTATTAAGATACTATGGTAAATTAAACCAAATGAAAGGGTTAATATTCAGGAAAGTTTCCTTTCAGAATACTCTTAACGTTGTATAATAATCAGCATCACTGTTGTGGATTTTTTTGAACGCAAATGATACATACCTTGCTCATATCATAGTTTGTATACATTCCACTGGCTGCGTTGGCGATAATGTTATTCAGTGAGTTCACGTCAAGACCGTAGCTGTTAACATAACAATATAATACATTTAAATACTGTTCATCATATCGTATACAATTATATTTGATAGAAATGGTTAAAAATAACGAACATTATCATCATAGGATAAGCGAAATGAACAAGAACAGGAAATTCAATTACAAAATAACACAAATGAAAATAATTTCATTCATTCAATACCAAATACGTACATGTATAGAATTCAATAGGCATACACAATTATTACATATTTGCAATAATGATTTATTTTTTCAGTTCAAGAAATGAACGAAAATGCCAAATCTACAGCGATAAAAGGTTTGTGAAAAAGGATTTTTTTTGTTGCGACGTAGAGTTTATAATTATGTTTTCATTAGAAATACTTTCTGGGAAATTGTTCATATGTTTAAATATATTGCTTTATATATTATTAGATACATCTTTATTCATATATAAAGCAAAGTAACACCAGATAATGACACTTCATCTACCGAGACTTACATTACAATAACGCACTTAACCCTAACGTCACCATACCAGCCTAAAGTTCAACACCCATGGGCTTATATTATATGGACCCAGTAACTAATCAAAACGTTATCGTGCAAGTACATAACGTCACCATACTTCAACTATATCATAAAGTCATCACACAACGGTTTAAAGAGGTTATAGATTTAGTATACATAGACACTTTTATCTTAACGTCGCTATGCAAGGACAAGCCGTGTTTTCACTAAACAATACAATAGCATACCTTACATTAACGTCACCATACAAGGATACACTAAATATTATTACACCTCTAATTTATTTACTCTATATAAAAGTAATTGGTTAAATCGAATATATCCCCACTTTTGCCTGAGTGTGTTTTAGTCCTGTGTGTTAGTCTGTAAACTAAAACACACCTACACTCGGGTGTTTCCGCCGAGCCAATCAGGCGAGAGGTGGGCGGAGCTTGTTACCGACCTCGGCAGTGACGCGCGAGGTGGGCGGAGCTTGCTGCCGAACTCGTAAGCATTTGGCTCCATTGCCATCAAAAGGGTATTTGGGACGTATACAGCTTATGGTATACAAATATTTTCTAGTTAAAACTATCTCTCCAGTGTGTATCGGTATAATAAAACGGTTAAAGTATGGGTTGAGGCATATATAGCAAGTTTCTGGTGTCCCTTGACCATGCCTATTTCCCTCGGCTTCGCCTCGGGAAATAGACCTGGTCTCGGGACACCAGAAACTATATCCCTCAACCCCATACTCTAACTGTATAATAACGTCACCACCATACTTTTACTATACTATGACGTCACCATACAAGGAATATCCATGCTTTAACTTCACCATACTAGGGTTTTCTATACCATGACGTCACCATACAAGGACTATCCGTGTGTTAACTTAAACATACAAGGGCACATTTTATCATAACGTCACCGTACAAGTACAAATAATGTGTTATCTCTACCTACGACAGTCGTACTATTACTACACGACGATTGTACTGTCTACCTACGACAGTCGTACGATTGCTATACGATTATTGTACTGTCTACCTACGACAGTCGTACGATTACTACACGACGATGGTACTGTCTACCTACGACAGTCGTACGATTGCTATACGCCGATTGTACTGTCTACCTACGACAGCCGTACGATTGCTATACGACGATTGTACTGTCTACCTACGACAGTCGTATGATTGCTACACGACGATTGAACACTCTACCTACGACAGTCGTACGATTGCTATACGATTATTGTACTGTCTACCTACGACAGTCGTACGATTACTACAGGACGATTGTACACTTT